ATTTTTTTTTCTTTAAGATTTTTTTTATTCCTGGGTTCAATAAAGAAAATCCCAGAATATTAAGAATTTGTTAGTAAAGGGTTTTTCTTTTTATAACCTAGCAGAGCGGTTAAGAACACAGATTCCAAAGCCAGACTGCCTGGGTTGAAATCCAAGCCTCTTGGGCAAATTATTTAACTCCTCTGAGCCTCTGATCTCTTAACTGTAAAAGAGAATAAAACGGCATAATCACCTTACAGGGTTGTTTAGAGGATTAAATGAGTTAATATTGGCAAAGGGTTTAGAATAGTGTCTGGCACTTAGTAAGCACTATTTAAAAGTTTGTTAAACACATTAAGGAATGGGAAGACACAGAGAGGTGTGCAAGAGGTACAGACAACAAAGGTAAACACTTTCACATACACAATATTGCATTATCAGTAATAAACATTAATCTATGGGTGGATACATAGGTAGATAGGCTGAATGATCAGGTACGTCTAGGTAAAAGGAAATACACCCATGACCACAACCAACTTTTGTTGTTGTTGTTGTTTTTATGTGCCATGGAGTCAGACCCGACTCATAGCGACCCCTCCTTGGGTTTCCAAGGCAGTATCACTATGGAAGTAGATTGCCCCATCTTCCTTCTGAGGAGTGGCTGGTGGGTTTGAATCAGCCTTCTGGCTAGCAGTCAAGTGCCTTACGCACTATGCTACCAGAGCTCCCAACTTTGGCAGACAATATTTCTACATATGTATTTGTATGTGCTATAAGAATGTTCATATATATGGTAGTACTAACAGGGAAAAGTTATGATACCTTTTTAGCCACAGCCAAACACTTTGCGAGAATGAATTACTGGGCCCACAGGCTTAGGACCATGATCACAGGGGACATCAAGCTCAATTGGCATAACATACTACACAAAAACATTGTTCTACATCCTATTTTGGTAAGTAACAACTAGGGTCTTAAAAGATTTTGAGTGGTCACCCAGATGCAACAATTGATCTCTCCTTGTTCTAAGCGAAGAAGAAAAAAGAAAATTAAAGATGCATGAAAACAATTAGTCCAAGGGACTAGTGAACCATGTGAACCTCAGCCTACAGGACCTTGAGATGAAGAAAAACTAGATCTTTCCTAGATCCTTTAATGGAATCTGCCAAGGGTTCAGATTCAACATCTTACTCACACTTTATTCAAACAGAGAAATCATTGTAACCCCATGCCTAGACATAGCATGGACATCCTAAGACACTTACTCCAACCTTTTATGTAACCCCAAGCCTAAGTACCTACTCAGTAGGTACTCAGGTGAGAATAGGTCTCCAAACATGAAAGGCACTTTCTGTTCCACTGTTTTGCTAATTGAAAAAAAGAAAAAAAAAAAGATATATTGTCAGGATTTCAAAAAATTCTTGTTTAAGAGAATACATCATGCTCTGGAGAGGGAATGCTGCTGGTAGATTAACATCTCTTCCTAATAAATGTTTCAAACCTTGGGACTAGCTGTACATTCTACCTGAGAAGTGCCTCCAATTCAAGAATGTCAAAAGGTCTGTCAGCTTGAGAATCTTTCTGCTTCGTGCTTTCAAGAAGAAAGATGCAGAGAATCTCTTTAATGAATTATTAGCCAATGAGAAAAGCAAGAGCTTTGTCAGAACTGGACTGCCTTTACCAATTGCCTGTGAGGCCTTGGACAATCATTCATATTTCTTGGGGTTCATTTCTTATCTATACAACACAGAATTAATACTTATCTCCAAGGTTGTTATGAGGACTAAATGAAGTATATGTCTGGTACAGAATAGGCACCTCAATAAATGGCATCAGTGATTGTCATTCAGTCCAGCTTATAAAGCTGGAAAAGTACACTGGTCTTTCAGACAGTGCAAAAGTATGCATTCATCTGAACTGCCCTTCCATTTTCCTTCTCAGTAACCTGCACAAGGTGGATAGAACACAAATAGTGCACAGTTCTGAGTAAAAGTAGATCCGTCATAAATTCAATCCAAATGATATGAGCAGACAGAGAAAGAAAGCTAACTCCAGGACAATTTTAACTCAAGCTGTACATGGGTGTTCTCCCTTGGATTCAGGAAAAGCATACCATTTAGTGTCCTTTTGTTTTTATGTGTATAATATAAAGTCCTTATGCTCAACTGGGTTTGCAGTCACAGATGCAATTGCTACAGCAGAGTTCAGATTGGGGTATATGGGAAGATCACAATGCTTAGGAACTATTCAATACACATTTTCTTCTCTCCCCTTCTCAGTACCACCAAGAATTCCTCTGAAGTTCCCTCAAACCCAAGATGTGCTTTCCAGAAGCTGCATCCTGGGGAACTCCTCACACAATCTCTCATGATGGATCAGTTTTTCCTAAGCTTTCATTACTTCCTTGCTTTTTGACTGAGAAAAGTTAAGTAAGTCGCTTTGTTGTTTCAGAGAGTTGTTGTTGTTTGCCATTGAGTCGGACCCGAATCATAGCGACCCCTCCTTGGGTTTCCAAGGCAGTATCACTATGGAAGTAGATTTCATAACCTTCCTTCCAAGGAGTGGCTGATGGGTTTGAACCACCAGCCTTCTGGTTAGCAGTCAAGTGCCTTAGGCACTATGCTACCAGAGCTCCTTGTTTCAGAGAGAGATCATTGCAAATGGACTATAATAATTCCCTTTCTGAAATAAGAATATAGTGGTCCATTTATAAGCTACTCAATGAATATAGCAAAGTGATTGAGAACATGAGTTCTAGAGGCCAATTATCTGGGTTAGAATCCTTCTTTCATCACTAGTTAGTGACATGATTGTGCAGAAGTTCCATAACTTCTCTGTATCTCAGTATCCTCATCTGTTAAGTAGAACAGAACCCACTTCTCAGGGCTGTTGTAAGGAGTAAATGCATTAATACAGACAGAGCACTTAAACTGGTGCCTGACACACAGTAAATGCTCAAGACGTGTTCCCTATTTCCATGTTGAACAATTCAGAAAAGGACAAAAAAAAAGGAAAGGTAAGTTTTCAGTCATGAAGATGGCACCTGTTAGATCTTAGATAGCACCACGAAGTGCTCAAGAAAACAGTATATTGTTAACAGCTTCAAAATTGCTT